GATTAACTTAGTTCCAGACACAGTGAGTCCATAAAACTTATGTGATAATGCATGAGCAAATATGTCTCACTTTATTTATTTATTTATTTATTTATTTTTTGAGACGAAATTTCGCTGTTGTTGCCCAGCGGAAGTGCAATGGTGCGAACTCAGCTCACTGCAACCTCCACCTCCCGATTTCAAGTGATTCTCCTGCCTCAGCCTCCCGAGTAGCTGGGATTACAGGCGTGCGCCACCATGCCTGGCTAATTTTTTGTATTTTTAGTAGAGACAGGGTTTCTCCATGTTATTCAGGCTGGTCTGCAACTCCCGACTTCAGGTGACCCGCCCATCTCCACCTCCCAAAGTGCTGGAATTACAGGCGTGAGCCACCGTGCCCAGCCCATGTCCCATTTTAAAACAAAAACACAGCACGCTGCCATTAACTTGAGAAAATAGTTAAGTTTGTACTGACGTATAACATGTATGCAGAAATACATGCTACATGTAAAAAGCATTCATCTAGTGCTCAATAAAGTATTAAAAAGAAAATATAGGCCGGGCGCGGTGGCTCAAGCCTGTAATCCCAGCACTTTGGGAGGCCGAGGCGGGTGGATCACGAGGTCAAGAGATCGAGACCATCCTGGTCAACATGGTGAAACCCCGTCTCTACTAAAAATACAAAAAATTAGCTGGGCATGGTGGTGCGTGCCTGTAATCCCAGCTACTCAGGAGGCTGAGGCAGGAGAATTGCCTGAACCCAGGAGGCGGAGGTTGCGGTGAGCCGAGATCGCGCCATTGCACTCAAGCCTGGGCAACAAGAGTGAAACTCCGTCTCAAAAACAAAAAAAAGAAAAGAAAAGAAAATATACTTGTGTAATCAACAAATAGAACCAACTTTGCTCCTGCATTGACAATCACTTTCTTTTCTCCTCCTCTTTAGAGACAGCCAAAATCTTAAGAGTTAATGTAGATAAACTTTATCTTTTCATACATGTTTCATTACAGAAAATTTTAAACGGATGCAAAATAAACAAAATAATAGCTCTGTCAACACCAGCTTTGACACTTAATCATGTGCCATTTTTGTTTCATCTGCATTTTAACTCATTCCTCACGTCTTTCATTATTATTATTATTATTATTATTATTTGAGACGGAGTTTCGCTCTTGTTACCCAGGCTGGAGTGCAATGGCGCGATCTCGGCTCACCGCAACCTCCGCCCCCTGGGTTCAGGCAATTCTCCTGCCTCAGCCTCCTGAGTAGCTGGGATTACAGGCACGCGCCACCATGCCCAGCTAATGTTTTGTATTTTTAGTAGAGACGGGGTTTCACCATGTTGACCAGGATGGTCTCGATCTCTTGACCCCGTGATCCACCTGCCTCGGCCTCCCAAAGTGCTGGGATTACAGGCATGAGCCACCGCGCCCGGCTATTCTTATTATTATTAGTTTTGAGACAAAGTCTCACTCTGTCTCCAGGCTGGAGTGCCGTGGTGCAATCTTGGCTCACGGCAACCTCTGCCTCCTGAGTTCAAGTGATTCTCCTTCCTCAGCCTCCTGAGTAGCTTGGACGACAAGCGCGCCATCACAGCCAGCTAATTTTTTGTATTTTAGTAGAGAGAGGGTTTCACCATGTTGGCCAGGATGGTCTAGATCTCCTGACCTCCTGATCTGCCCTCCTTGGCACATAACTATTTTTTTGGCTTTTTTTTCGGGGGGTCTCAGATATATATACACTAAAATACAAAATTATTAACTGTACTTTTAGAGACAAGTTCTTACCTGTTGCCCATGCTGGAGTGCAGTAGCTTGATTATAGCTCACTGCAGCCTTGAAATTTTGGTCCCAAGCAATTCTCCCACATATTTTTCCCATGTAGCTAGGACTACAGTGGTGCACCACCACACTCCAGCTAATTATTATTATTATTTTTTTTTTTTTTGGCGGAGTTTCGCTCTTGTTGCCCAGGCTGGAGTGCAATGGCGTGATCTCGGCTCACCGCAACCTCCGCCTCCTGGGTTCAGGCAATTCTCCTGCCTCAGCCTCCTGAGTAGCTGGAATTACAGGCACGCGCCACCATGCCCAGCTGATTTTTTTGTATTTTTAGTAGAGACGGGGTTTCACCATGTCGACCAGGATGGTCTCGATCTCTTGACCTCGTGATCCACCCGCCTCGGCCTCCCAAAGTGCTGGGATTACAGGCTTGAGCCACCGCGCCCGGCCCACTCCAGCTAATTATTTTATTTCTAATTTTACAAACAGCGTTTTGCTGTGTTACCCAGGGTGGTCTCAAAATTCTGGCCTCAAGTGATCCACTTACCTTGGACTCAAAATTGTACAATATTGACAAATACACCCAATTAAGCTTAACCCTTTTAATAACAGAATAATTTCCTCATCTTCAGAAATTCCCTTTTGATTTTTTTTTCCGGGAAATTTTTTCTCAGAAATTGTACAGTTTTTTTTTTTTTTTTTTGGGACGGAGTTTCGCTCTTGTTACCCAGGCTGGAGTGCAATGGCGCGATCTCGGCTCACCGCAACCTCCGCCTCCTGGGTTCAGGCAATTCTCCTGCCTCAGCCTCCTGAGTAGCTGGGACTACAGGCACGCGCCACCATGCCCAGCTAATTTTTTGCATTTTTAGTAGAGACGGGGTTTCACCGTGCTGACCAGGATGGTCTCGATCTCTTGACCTCGTGATCCACCCGCCTAGGCCTCCCAAAGTGCTGGGATTACAGGCTTGAGCCACCGCACCCGGCCTGTACTGATTTTTTAAGCATAGGTTAATTTGTCTGAAATCATATAATAAATATTTTATGTTCACCTTGTCTTATTTAGCAGATTTACAAGATTTATCTCAAGAGTGTGCTTCAGGCCGGGCGCAGTGGGTCAAGCCTGTAATCCCAGCACTTTGGGAGGCTGAGGTGGGCAGATCACATGAGGTCAGGAGTTTGAGACCAGCCTGAACAATATGGTGAAACCCCATCTTAAAAAAAAAAAAAAAGAAAGAAAACACCCATGAGTCCGTGGTTGCCGTGAGCCAAGATCGCACCGTTGGACTCCAGCCTGTGTGACAGAGCAAGACTCAATCTCAAAAAAAAAAAAAAAAAAAAAAAAAAAAGGAGAATATTGCACCCAGGTATCGAGCATAGTATCCAATATATAGTTTTTCAACTCATGTTCCCCTCTCTTCCATCCCCCTCTAGCAATCCTCTTTAGAGGACAATGTACATCTTTAACATAACACAATATAATTACTGTCAATACTGCACTGTGTTCATAAATGTAAAATATAAAAATCTTATGACAGAACAATTCTATTTTCTTCGATCTTTTGTGCTGCTGTTACGATTTTATATCTACATATTATAAATCCAATAACAGTCATAATTGTTGCTTTAAATAGTCATAGGTTGCTTTAAAAATGACGGGAACAGGCCGATGGTGGTGGTTTACACCTGTAATCCTAGCACGTTGGAAGGCCAAGGTGGGCAGATGACCTGAGGTCAGAAGTTCAAGACCAGCCTGACCAACATGGAGAAACCGGGTCTCTACTAAAAATACAAAAAATTAGCCAGACGTGGTGGCGCATGCCTGTAGTCCCAGCTATTCAGGAAGCTGAGGCAGGAGAATTGCTTGAACCTGGAGGCGGGGGTTGCGGTGAGCCAAGATCATGCCATTGCACTCCTGCCTGGGCAGCAAGAGTGAAACTCCCTCAGTGTGAAAAAAAAAAAATAAGGAACAGTTAATTTAGTCAGATACTTTGGTGCTATGCAAATACACTGCTTATTTTCTTTTTTCTTTTTTTTTTTTTTGAGACGGAGTTTCACTCATGTTACCCAGGCTGGAGTGCAATGGCGCGATCTCGGCTCACCGCAACCTCCGCCTCCTGGGTTCAGGCAATTCTCCTGCCTCAGCCTCCTGAGTAGCTGGGATTACAGGCACGCGCCACCATGCCCAGCTAATTTTTTTGTATTTTTAGTAGAGACGGGGTTTCACCGTGTTGACCAGGATGGTCTCGATCTCTTGACCTCGTGATCCACCCGCCTCGGCCTCCCAAAGTGCTGGGATTACAGGCTTGAGCCACCGCGCCCGGCCTTACACTGCTTATTTTCTAATTGTTAATTACAATTATTACACTCCGCAGTTAACCTTGGATACAATAATAACTGTGGTGGTTTTGTGATGATTTCCTTAGCATTTTATCTATGTTGATTAATGTTTGGATATCTGTAAAAAAGATTTGCCCTATCCTTTTCCTTTTTATTTAAAGTTTTTTTTTTTTTTTTTTTTTTTTAATATATCAGTGTGAATGCATGGGTATTTATTTGATTTGACTTGATTTATTTGATAGGTCAGCTCTGTAATTATTTATTTGGTTGCTTACATTGTTCCAGGTTGGACCATGGGGAATACTTTCAGGCTGGCTTCCTTTGACATGTTCCCATCATTTTTTTTAAGAACTGGAAACAGTGGAAACAGGGAGATGCACTAAGACCCCGAGTTCTGGTCACACTATGACCTATATGAGACCTAACCAAAATGTGAGAATTTTTTTTTTTTTTCCCTTGAGATGGAGTCTCGCTCTGTCGCCCAGCCTCTAGGGCGGTGGCGCGATCTTGGCTCACTGCAACCTCCGCCTCCCGGGTTCAAGGATTGTCCTGCCTCAGACTTCTAATGTGAGAAATGTTTTTTAAATTTTATTTATTTATTTTTAAAGATGAGGTTTCACCATGTTGATCAGGCTGGTCTCGAACTCCTGATCTCAGGTGATCCAGTCACCTCGGCCTCCTAAAGTGGTAGGATTACAGGCTTGAGCCACCGCGCCCGGCCTAAATGTGAGGATTTTTAAAACACAGTTATTAGAGGCCATCACTGCAGATGCCAGTCACAAACCCCATAGGCTCACCTATGCTTCTGAGCTACTGGGGACTCCCAGGGCGGGCGCAGAGGCTCACATGGGCTGGGAACCGTCCAATCAGGCGCGCGGCTGCAGCGGACGGGGCGGCTTCCGGGATGTGGCGCGGCCTTTGTCTCTTGCTGCAGCGGGAGCCCCAGGTTTTGTTTTCTCTGCTCTGTGTCCTCTGCTCCTGGAGGCCCAGCCTCGCGGCCCCGTGACCTGCAGGTTTTGAGAGATCCACAGCTAAGACGCCGGGACCCCCTGGACGCCTGAAATGGTGAGTGCAGGTCCGACATCCCGAGAGGGGCTGGTTGGAACCGGTGGGAAGTGGCCGTGGCGGACTCAGGCCTCCCCGCAGTCCGCTCCACGGTCTGCCCCCGAGTTCTCCTTGCCCAGCTCGGCCTCAGTCCCCTTCAGCCGTAAGATGGCGGCTGTGCTGACAGCCGCGTCCCCGGGCGTCCTGTCTGTTCCCTGCGCGGTGACTGCGCCCTGGCCTTGGAGCCCTCTCTGGGCAGCTGCGCACCCGCAGCGCCGCGTCTCTCCCGGATTGTGCAGGGACCGCGGGAGGGTCGTCAGGGGAGAGTCCTGACCCGGGTGCGGGTTCATGAATGGGAAAAACTTTGGTCCCCTAGGATGCCAGTTCCTCTTTTCTTTTTTTATTTTTTACTTTTTATGAAGATGAGGTTTCACCATGATGGCCAGGCTGGTCTTGAACTTCTGACCTCAGGTGATCCACCCACCTCGGCCTCCCAAAGTGCTAGGATTACAGACGTGAGCCACCGCGCCCGGCCCCTCTTTTCTTTTGTTGAAAGTATGTGAGAGTGTCCATAGAAACATTAAAGCATTTAATTAAAGAGTGATACAAAAATTGTGGAGCACCCCAGCTGTGGTTTGTAATTTGTGGTCCATGGTTGGGGCTTGAAGGAAAGGCTTTTATGAACTGCATGATGAAGAAAACCAACTTCAGTAATTGGTTAGATATCACAGTTACGTAGTTTCTTGATTTGTATAATAAAGGTGAAATTTGCCTGGTTATGTAATCGGATGTTCATTGGCAGTTTATAATTGGTTAAGGCTGAATTTTGTTTCTCTCAGTGTAGTAATTTACTAAAAAATGCACTTCAGTTAGATTTTCTTTTTATTTTTTATTTGAGACAGTCTCATTCTGTCACCCAGGCTGGAGTGCAATGGCGTGGTCTTGGCTCACTGCAACCTGCGCCTCCCCAGTTCAAGTGATTCTCCGTCCTCAGCCTCCGGAGTAGCTGGCACTACAGGCATGTGCCACCACACCTGGCTAATTTTTGTATTTTTGGTAGAGACAGGGTTTCACTAATGGCCAGACTAGTCTCAAACTCCTGACCTTGTGATCTGCCCACCTTGGCCTCCCAAAGTGCTGGGATTACAGGCATGAGACGCTGCGTCCGGCGTGGGAGTCCCCAATTTTTAAACAGTCGCTCAGAAGCTAGGTGAGCCTATGGAGTTTGTGACTGGCATCTGCAGTGAGGACAAAGTTGTGGGACTGAGCCCTGAATCAGGGTCTGTGCTGACTCTAGGTGGTGTCAGAATTCAAATGTTAGACATTGAGTTGGTGGTGGAGAATTGCTTGGTGTTCAGCAAACTCTACAGATTTGGTGCCAGAAGAAAGATATCACAGAGGCCTGGCCTGGAATAAAACTCTTGGTGTCTGGAAATGGGACGCTCCGCTCTCCTGGACGCAGGCTGTCACACTGCCCATTGTCCTGTTATCCTAGGCCTCCTCCCAGGGTGAGAGAGGATGAAAACTTAGAGGAAGGGCCGGGCGCGGTGGCTTGCACCTGTAATCCAAGCACTTTGGAGGCCAAGACGGGCGGATCACCTGAGGTCGGGAGTTCAAGACCAGCCTGACCAACATGGTGAAACCCCGTCTTAAAAAAAAAAAAGAAATCAAAACTTAGAGGAAAGGACCTGTGATGACAGACCCCCTTTTCTCACGGCTGCCACCATAGGATTCCCACCCACTCACAAAGACACACGCTAGACATTGATTTGATGTGTTCACACCCCTCCCAGGACTAGGCACCACCCTCAGGAACTTCACCACAGCAGTTTCGATTCTAGTGTTTCTTGACAAAAACCCACATGTGAATCTACAAGTCTGATACTGAATATATCCCCACCCCCAGACACTGCATCAGCAGCAGCAACCTGTTTTCCCCGCCAGTCTAGGGTTCTGGGCCACCTGTTCATAACCTCATCTGCTGGCAAGCACACGGAAATAAAGTATAGCCGCATCTGGGCCACTCTCTGTCTATAGAACAAACAACTCCTTCCAGCTACATTGCACTCTTCCCCACCTGTGGATTTTTTTTTTTTTTTTAACTTTTCTTTTTGGTTCAGGGGTCCATGTGCAGCTTTGTTACATAGGTAAAATTGTGTCGCGGGGGTTTGATGTAGATTATGTTGTCACTGAGGTACTAAGCATAACACCCAACAGGTTTTTTATTTTTATTTTTATTTTTATTTTATTTTTTTGAGACGGAGTTTCGCTCTTGTTACCCAGGCTGGAGTGCAATGGCGCGATCTCGGCTCACCGCAACCTCCGCCTCCTGGGTTCAGGCAATTCTCCTGCCTCAGCCTCCTGAGTAGCTGGGATTACAGGCACGCGCCACCATGCCCAGCTGATTTTTTGTATTTTTAGTAGAGACGGGGTTTCACCATGTTGACCAGGATGGTCTCGATCTCTTGACCTCGTGATCCACCCGCCTCGGCCTCCCAAAGTGCTGGGATTACAGGTGTGAGCCACTGCGCCCGGCCCAGGAAGAGGATTTTATTTACAAAAGGGACATACCCAGAGACCGTCCGTCCGGCCACTCAGCACCGGCGTTACAGTAGCACGGGCAAGGCGCGAGTTACAGCTCTCTACAATTTTTCTCTTCCTCTCTTTTTCCCTCTTTCCGTCCTTCTTTGGTTTTTGTCTATATTTTATATGTTGCAGTTCAACTTAGGTTATAGTAAACACCAGCTGCTCTTTGTCTTGTCTCTCACGAACATTATCATTATGTAACAGCAATCCTTGGCTTTGTTTACGGTTCTCAAAGAGACGGGAATTGGCCAGATTCCCGGCTCCTCGGACATAAGCCAGGGTCATCATGAGCTCCTAATGCCCCGGGCTTACTGCCAAAGAAATGATAACTTTAGTTCCCAAGGTCCAAGAAACTTAGAGCAAACACTGGGCATGACTTTTTTTATATTAACCCTACAATTCGGCCCCTAGGCATGGCCAGGGTTTGTATACACAAAGCGCTGTGATATAAATGCAGCATATACATAGTGTATTTTTTGATATAGCCATAGGTTACAGCAGCAAGTTACACAACCAAAAAGTATCCATAAGAAGACAAGTATGGCTGGGCGCGGTGGCTCAAGCCTGTAATCCCAGCACTTTGGGAGGCCGAGGCGGGTGGATCACGAGGTCAACAGATCGAGACCATCCTGGTCAACATGGTGAAACCCTGTCTCTACTAAAACTACAAAAAATTAGCTGGGCATGGTGGCACGTGCCTGTAATCCCAGCTACTAAGGAGGTTGAGGCAGGAGAATTGCCTGAACCCGGGAGGCGGAGGTTGCGGTGAGCCGAGATCGCGCCATTGCACTCCAGCCTGGGTAACAAGAGCGAAACTCCGTCTCAAAAAAAAAAAAAAAAAAAAAAAAAAGAAAACAAGTATATATAAAGGAAGAAATCTATATGTTACATTAGAGTGGCTAAATAACCAATCCCACCAGTTATGATTTGAATCTGTAGCAATAGCATGTGAATATGATTGTAATTTATTGGCTATAATGGTGGTTAATAATCGATGTTGAGCCAATTGGCGTTCAGTTTGCTGTAGATATGTATGTAATTGTGTACTTTGTGCTAAAATTTTTGATAAATTTAGATATATTTCAACTTTTGGCATAGGCAATTGTAATGGCAACCAAGTGTAGTTTTGCATTTGGTATATTGGGGTTAAATAGAGTGTATCATTAAACCATGGCAACAGACTGACATTATATAAACATCCAGAAAAAGGGGACTCAATTCACAAGAAATGTGTGGTCACTGTTTGGGCAGTAGCTATACAAATAGCTTGGGATCCTATTTCACATATAACTGAATAACTTGATACAGGCAGTAACGTAAAAACACAATGATTAACTGAAAAATGTAGTAAACATGGTTCCATTTGTTGTTGAATACCATTGCATACAGTTCCATTATGGGTTTTTATACAGTCATCTAGATTATAAGTAACATTTTGTTCACTAATATAAGATCCTTGAAACTCTGGTTGTAAATAATATGAGTTTTGAATAATAGGTAATACATGATAGGGGCATAAAATAGTTGTTTTGCTTGGTTTATAGTAAGTTATTATTCCCCAGCAATATGTTGGAACACAAGAAAAAGGATTATTTGTGGATAGCCACGCCCATGATGGAACCAAAGATTGCCACATTACTTGTCCAGACATTAGTTCCCTTTGTGCATGTTCAATTTGTATTACCGTATATAAATATTGTAGGGAGCACTTAGTCTAATTAAAAAGTACAGATATAGGCCGGGCGTGGTGGCTCAAGCCTGTAATCCCAGCACTTTGGGAGGCTGAGGCGGGTGGATCACGAGGTCAAGAGATCGAGACCATCCTGGTCAACATGGTGAAACCCCGTCTCTACTAAAAAACTACAAAAAATTAGCTGGGCATGGTGGTGCGTGCCTGTACTCCCAGCTACTCAGGAGGCTGAGGCAGGAGAATTGCCTGAACCCAGGAGGCGGAGGTTGCGGTGAGCCGAGATCGCGCCATTGCACTCCAGCCTGGGTAACAAGAGCGAAACTCTGTCTCAAAAAAAAACCCAAAAAAACAAAACAAAAAAAAAAACTGACTTCTCTTTATGGTTAAATTCAGACTATAATTTACTTTTTGAGGGGCAGTATCTCAGCAGTGATGCCGTGTTCTTATGTACATCAGTACATCCTAAAAATTTGTTCTAGTGTGGTTGATGTTAATTATTTACTTGGTTGCAGAGCACTCTGACAGATCTTTTTTCACTAGAGTTAATTTTTTTTTTTAATTTTAATTTTTATTTATTTTTTCAAAAACGGGGTTTCGCCATGTTGGTTGGGCTGGTCTTGAACTCCCGACCTCAGGTGATCCACCCGCCTTGGCCTCCAAAGTGCTTGGATTACAGGCGTGAGCCACCACGCCCGGCCTAGAATTAATTATTTTTCTCTTCATTATTAAGTATTTTTATGCAGCTAATGTGCATAAACCATTACATTTAATGTGGCACCTGCCCTTTTTTCTTAGATTTTCTCTGCATCTATCCGTCTTTGGAAAATGAAGGCTCTTATCTTTGTTTACAGGCCAAAAAAAAAAATTGGTGAAACATAGGCTCTTCCATTTACTGGATGTTTGACAAAATAGTTTTCTTAGGCCAAAAACACTGGCATTACTAGTGAGCTTGTTAGAAATTCAGAAATTCAGACTTTATTCTGGATCTTCCGAGTAAAAGAAATCTGCACAACAGGATCCCCAGTTTCTTGTTCACATTTAAAGCTGAGAGGTACCTTCTAACTCAACATGTCTTTTTTTGCCTGAAAAATATACACAACTCAAACTTTATGATGTAAATATATCACTCAAAATTGTACATATATATATATTTTTTAAACGGAGTTTCACCATGTTGGTCAGGCTGGTCTTGAACTCCCGACCTCAGGTGATCCGCCCACCTTCACCTCCAAGTGCTTGGATTACAGGCGTGAGCCACCATGCCCGGCCAAGTGTACTTATTTTTGTTCATGCCCTTAATTTTATACTTTATCATCCAGGCAAGTATCATATATACAGCAGGGTTGTGGATTTCTTTGCCATCCTCTTCTCTCAGAGTTAAAGAAAACATTAGATAATATTTCTGTGTTAAAAATTATTGGGGCTGGGCGTGGTGACTCACACCTGTAATCCAAGCACTTTGGAGGCCAAGGTGGGCAGATCACCTGAGGTCAGGAGTTCAAGACCAGCCTGACCAACATGGCGAAACCCCGTCTTAAAAAAAAAAAAAAAAAATTGGATAATTTCAGTGATTTCTATAAGTCAGAACCAATTCTCTTTACTTTTTCATTTCGCTTTAATTCAAATAATAAATTCGGCCGATGGCTACTTGGTAAATATATGTGTCTGTGTGCTTGTTGTGTTTTTCAGGGGCCGTTGACATTTAGGGATGTGGCCATCGAATTCTCTCTGGAGGAGTGGCAATGCCTGGACACTGCTCAGCAGGATTTGTATAGAAAAGTGATGTTAGAGAACTACAGAAACGTGGCCTTCTTGGGTGAGAATAACTTTAATATAGAATTCCTAATATACCCTAAAGGTTTCATTTCTCTTTTTTTGTAGAATAATTTATGCTTTGCATAAATGAGTTTCTGATTCCTGTTTTTTTTTTTGTTTGTTTGTTCTTTTTTTTCTTTAGAGACGGGGTTTCACCATGTTAGCCAGGATGGTGTTGATCTCCTGACCTGGTGATCCGCCCACCTCGGCTCCCCAAAGTGCTGGGATTACAGGCGTGAGCCACCATGCCTGGCCGATGGATTCCTGTTTTTACGAAAATCCTGAGGATTTGTCCATGTAGAAAAGAATTTTTTTTTTTTTTTTTTGAGACGGAGTTTTGCTCTTGTTACCCAGGCTGGAGTGCAATGGCGCGATCTCGGCTCACCGCAACCTCCGCCCCCTGGGTTCAGGCAATTCTCCTGCCTCAGCCTCCTGAGTAGCTGGGACTACAGACACGCGCCACCATGCCCAGCTAATTTTTTGTAGTTTTAGTAGAGACGGGGTTTCACCATGTTGACCAGGATGGTCTCGATCTTTTGACCTCGTGATCCACCCGCCTCGGCCTCCCAAAGTGCTGGGATTACAGGCTTGAGCCACCGCGCCCGGCCTGAAAAGAATTTTTTCAAAATGTTTTATCTTTACTTAAACATTCCACATGCCTGGGCTTATCTGTGTCCTTCACTCTAGATTAGTGGCATAAAACATTGTTTCCCATATCCTTTTTTGGGATACAAAGTCTTGCTCTGTTTCCAGGCTGGACTGTAGCGGTGCAATCTCAGCTCACTGCACCCTCGGCCTCCCGGGTTCAAGCAATTCTCTGCCTCAGCCTTCTGAGTAGCTGTGATTACAGGTGCCCGCCACCACTTCCAGCTAATTTTTGTATTTTTAGTAGAGAAGAGATTTCATCATGCTGGCCAGGCTGGTCTCGAACCCCGGACCTTAAGTGATCCACCTGCCTCGGCCTCCGAAAGTGCTGGGATTACAGGCATGAGTCATCCTGGCTGCCCATATCTTAAAATCTATTTACCACCACCAGTCTTTGATTAATGAATACCGAGTATTCATCAATCAAATTTTTAAGTGAAATTAAGAACCTACAAATTGGGCCGGGCGCGGTGGCTCAAGCCTGTAATCCCAGCACTTTGGGAGGCCGAGGCGGGTGGATCACGAGGTCAAGAGATCGAGACCATCCTGGTCAACACGGTGAAACCCCATCTCTACTAAAAACACAAAAAATTAGCTGGGCATGGTGGCGCGTGCCTGTAATCCCAGCTACTCAGGAGGCTGAGGCAGGAGAATTGCCTGAACCCGGGAGGCGGAGGTTGCGGTGAGCCGAGATCGCGCCATTGCACTCCAGCCTGGGTAACAAGAGCGAAACTCCGC